GTATTTTAATGTAAATTATTAAAATATATTTTTATGATCCTGGTTTAATATCAAGTTATCTTTTCAAGGTCCCAGTACTTAAACTAAGTCAATTAATTTTATAATTTTGGATACACTGATTAACGAAAGTAAATTGCGCCACACTTGTATTGTCTTCAATCCCCCCAATTTTATACAGGTATTGTTAAAATAAATTGTATATTTGAAATAAACTCAGTACCAATGTTAAAAAACATATATCGTGTGTTTTCACTACAAACTATGTTATTTTTGTTCCTTATCCAAGGTTGCCCTAACTAGACTATAAGACAATCACTCCGCTGCTTACTACGTAGTTCTCGATGTCAAGTAAATATGTTATTATTTCGAATGTCGCGCGTAAACCGACATAACCTAAAAGTTAGTTGCCAACGAATATAAAAAACACCGAAGCTCGTCGCGAAGAAAGTTTGAAACGATGGTTTTGTGCAACGTCCAATGCCTAGAAAGAATTTCAAATTACTTGGACGTGTCGCCGGTGCAATTAGAAATGCATGAAAATGTAAATAATAGATTTTCACGAAAATTCTATTTAAGACGTGTAGTTGATACGTGTTACTGTTTTGTAAACCGTTTTTTCCCCTCTTTTTTTGTTTAGGTAGTCGTTAGTACGGAACGAGCATCTAACAAAACAATCGAAGGATTTAGTACTATAATTCAGTCATTAATCAAGAATTCAAAATATCCGAACATCCTTGGTGATAATAACGAGGTAGAAGCTTTATCGCGTCAATGGCTCGAATATGCCGTTGTCTGTATTAATTACGCTGACACTCCGGCGAATACGAAGAGGATTTTACAGGTAACATTGATCGACTTCTTTATGTAACTATAATGAAAACGAACAAGAACTGTTCAAAGTCGAAATTCATAAAACACGTTTGTTTGTTACAGGAATTAAATATTGCTCTAAGGGACAGGACATACTTAACTGGTACAAAAAAAACCATTGCTGACATAACGCTGTATTATGTCTTATACTCAGTAATGGTAATAAAAATGAACAGTATATAATAAGTAGCACATAGGAATCCTTAGTAGATTACATGGATCAATTTAATCTCTTTAACCTTCTTTTTTTTTGTTGCAGCGAGAATTAACTCACCAGGAGAAAGCTCAGTATGTGCATGTGTCAAGGTGGTTTGATAACATACAGCAAGAAAAAAAATTAAGGCAGCAACTAGATCTAATTTCCTTTGACTTGTTACATTTATTCTTATGAATTAATATACACACAGTCATGATTTAATAATTGTTACATATTCTCACTTCAATAAGAAATACATAAAACAATTAATACCAGCCTCCAATAAAACCAATAATAAAAAGTGCAAAAACTAAAATCATTGTCGGATGCATATAAATGAAATGATACACAGAATTATTACCAATTCATTCTAGTTACTCGTACTGTTTAAAATTTAATACCTTTCATTCCAATGATAACCAACATTTCCATCTATTTAAAGTAATATTTCAGGCAACAAAATTTCCTCAACTTACTGCAAAATTAAAACTATCCAATAATGAATTTAAATTTTCTCATTACAACCAATGCATATAATTGTAGAAATTTCCTTTCAACATACCACTGTAATTAACATTAAAAACTTATTCATCTTACATTTAAAATATCAATACTTGAAAAAATCCCTTTACCGGAAACAGGAAACTAACTGATCGGTAATCGTTAATCGATTGTGCCTGCACGGTTCGTATGGCTGTTCGCAGGTGGCGTCAAACGATCGTTTCTATACGAAGTGTAAAGAACCAAAGATGTCCGTCACGTATGATTTCAGTCCAAGATCTGTGTAGTCCTTGGACCGACGCGGCTAGGATAGCGATTTTCCTTTCGTTATGAGAGATGTTTGAGTGGATTTCACGGTCATTTGTGCGGGCGTTCGCGACGAAAAATGCGGAATTTTCACTGTCGCCGCATCTGATAACGCGTGCGCATTCAGGATACCCGACTATCGAAGAATTTTAACCGCCGCCTAATAATTTTTGGCCTAATCGCGCCGGAATCCTGTTCGTTTTCACTGTTCAAGTTTCTAACGCTGTCACGTCTCGAACAATAGCACAATAAACGACGTCGAGATGGCTGATGACACGAGTGTACGCGTCGCTGTACGGTAAGCATCGATTATTCTACTACTTTCGAAATGATTTTGATTGAAGACGTTCCGTCGCGAAGCAGACCGTATTATCGCAAACTCGTACGCAGTGACAGCTCCTGGAATTGACAGCATTCGGTCAACGGGAATCCAGATATTCCCGCGGCACGTCGTTTAAATTCAAAGAGACGTGACCATTTGCTTTTGAGCTGTCGTTATAAATTCACCGTTGATAACCGTGATTTACATAGCGTCTCGCATGTTTGCCCGGTATATCTTATCTGGCCCCTTGTTTTTTTCGTGCTGTACCGTTGTTGCGAGTCCGACCGATTAGAATTGCAAAACCGATCTACGCGTGTCACACTTTCACGATTTTAGAAAATTTTACCGTACAGACCGTTTCATATTTTGAAATGGTTCCGGATTTCTCGTAACTCTCTTTTTCACTTTTCAATGAATTAATTGTACGAGCCACGTTTTCCGTTGCCAATGTTATTTCTACTGAAAGACTAAATATTGGTATCGTGTTATTATTATGATCGTGATATCGATATTTTTTTTTTGAATGGTACATTTTTAGCTGGCTTTCGCGAGCGTAGTATTTGATCGGTATCTTTTTTCTACGCAGCAGCTCGTTGCAAACTTAAATCACATAATGTCTCCTTTTAAAGAACGAGGTGCGTAGGTTTCATTACCGGTTGTATAATGTATATACGCATATCCCGATTCTCGATGAATGAATTTTCCATCTCCCACCGCGTCCCCTTCGTTTTTGCGTAATCCGATAATCTACCGTTGTTTGTATTCTTTTACGCTTGCGACGAATGTTTTTATTTATCTTTTGTTACGTGCCATTTCTTTCTTTCGTCGCCTATCAGCGATTCTCACGAGGTTTCCGTGAGCGACACTCGATAACAGCTGATGCAGACAGTGCAAACTGTTATATCTCTTTCTCTCACGTAATAATGATATAATACGTTCTCGTGTAACTGCACCGGTCGATTATGTGTCGTTCGCAATACACCGGGAATAGATGAATGACGACTAAGTCAGATTGAAGCCTAAATGATTTGTGACATTGAATAAATATTTCGAATAATTTTGAAATTTTTTGTTTTGTTTTGAGAACTTTTTAAAAATTATCTTCGATATCGTTGCAGTAAGAAGAATAGACTATTTATATTTTTAAAATAACATTTTAGTTTCATTTGTTTTTAATTATGTATTTGAGGCATTATCTTGTTTAAGCATAAATGTTTATTCTTAACTACAGAATAAGGCCTCAGGTAGCACGTGAAGTGATCGATATGTGTAGAATTTGTACTCAAGTACCTCCAGGAGAACCCCAGGTCTTTCTTGGACCAGACAAGGCCTTCACATATGATTATGTTTTTGATACTGGCATTGGGCAAAGCACAATTTACGAAACATGTGTTGGACACCTAGTAGAAGGTGCTTTAGATGGTTACAATGCAACTGTTCTTGCTTATGGTCAGACTGGTTCTGGCAAAACTTATACTATGGGCACTGGTTTTGATGTGGAAGTGGAGGAAGCTGTTGTTGGTATAATTCCCAGAGCAATCAAACATCTTTTTGATGGAATAGCAGAGAAACAACAGCATGCTAGGGAACGTGCACAGATGCCTCCTGAATTTAAGGTGGGTAATCCTAATGTTGCCACCCTTTTAATGTAATGTTTATGTCGTTACTCGATTGTTTATACCTCTGTATTGTGTTATGACTGATGTACATGTTATAACAGGTTACTGCACAATTTTTGGAGCTGTACAATGAAGATTTGAAAGATTTATTGGAACCAGGTGGGCCAAGAGGTGGTGCTCGCATTCACGAGGATACTTCAGGCAACATTCATTTAGCTGGTGTAGAACCAAGAATTGTGACCAGTCTGGAACAAGCATTAGATTATTTACGTTTGGGAGCATTATCACGCACAACTGGTTCTACTCAAATGAATACTCAATCATCAAGATCACACGCGATATTTACATTATATATAAGGCAGCAAAGATGCATCAAGGTTGAAGACCCAGATGCTGACATTGACACAAGTGGAACAGAACCAGCAAATGAGTTTGAAACTCTAACTGCAAAATTTCATTTTGTAGATTTAGCTGGGTCAGAAAGACTGAAAAGGACTGGTGCAACAGGAGATAGAGCAAAGGAAGGGATATCCATAAATTGTGGATTGGTATGGCTTCTATTGATATTCTAATTTAAAAGATATAGTACTTCAAATTTTAATGATTATTTTTTTTATGTATTGTAGTTGGCCCTAGGCAATGTGATTTCAGCACTGGGTGACAAAACAAAGAAAGCTTTACATGTACCATATAGAGATTCCAAATTGACAAGGCTACTTCAAGATTCACTTGGAGGTAATATGATAATATATTATCAAAATAAACGATGTCATTCAATGTAACATGTTAATGTGTTATTCTAGGGAATAGTCAGACTGTTATGATAGCTTGTGTATCTCCAAGTGACCGGGATTTTATGGAAACACTGAGTACATTGAAATATGCTAATAGAGCGAGAAATATAAAGAACAAAGTTACAATTAATCAAGATAAGAGTTCAAGGACAATAGCTTCTTTGCGAAGAGAGATACAACAGCTTCAGTTAGAATTGATGGAATATAGGCAAGGTGAATATATAGAATCTAGAGTATTTGAATCATTATTCATTCTATGTTGACTGCAATCTTTTATATATATATTTTTTTAGGTAAAAGAGTTGTTGGCGAAGATGGTGTAAATGATGCTTGGCATGAAAATCAAATGTTGAATAGTGAACTGCAAAGTCTACGTACAAGAGTCAAAGCTCTTTCAGAAACAGTCGAGGCACTAACTGCAAAGAATGTTCTTCTGCTGGCAGAGAAGGCTGCTGGTCAGTGGGTATCGGCAACAGGTGGAAATGGTGAAGTAACGAGTTTAGTACAAGGATATGTACAAGAAATAGAAGAACTAAGGGCGCGTCTCTTAGAAGCGGAAGCGATGTATCAACAATTAAAAAAGCGGCAAATGCAGGTACAGTATCGTTCACACATTAGAGTAGTAAACGTTACACGTGAAAAATAATTTTTCAATGTAATATTTATTTTGCATAGGTTAATGCAGCAAATCCTTATGGTGACTCTGGATATATGTTTCAAAGTGATTCTACATCAGTATTAAGTGATGCCAAAAAAGAGTTGCAGAAGGAGATTGAAACGTTAACTGCATTAAAAGAGCAACAAGTGTACAATACTAACACTGCCAATAAAGTAGGAGAGGAAGGGGAAGGCGATGATGTAGAAGTTGTACAAGACTCTGCGAGTGAAGATGACTCAGATGACGACTCTGATAGGAAAGGTATAGCAATTATAATAATGAAATGGTGTTTTCATACTGAGTTCGTAAATAATAGACGTACGATATTTTGTAGAAGAAGACGAAGAGGAGGCAGCTATGGGTCGTGAGTTGGAGGCTCTAACGTCGGATATAGATATGAAGCAGCGGTTAATCCAGGAGTTAGAACTCTCTCAACGTCGCCTGCAAACCATGAAACAGCATTACGAGGACAAACTTGCGCAGTTACAGGCCCGCATTAAAGATACCCAAGAAGAAAGGGATAAGGTGTTGCACTCTCTACAACAACAGCCAACGCCACCGACAGAGAAAGTGAAGAAACTGCGCGACGAGTATGAGAAGAAGCTGTCCGCAATGCAAAAAGAAATGCGATTGTTACAGACCGCCAAAAAGGAGCACGCGAGATTGCTCAAGAGTCAGTCACAGAATGAGAACAGGTTAAGAGGACTAAGGAATGAACTAGCAGAGATGAAGAGAGCAAAAGTGAAGCTTTTAAATAAAATGCGCGAGGAGGCTCAGAGACATAAAGAGAATGAGCTGAGACGCAACAGAGAGATAGCTCAATTACGTAAGGAGAGTAGGAAAAATGCAAATATGATTAGAACACTAGAAGCTGATAAGAGAATGAAAGAAGTGGTGCTCAGGCGTAAACAGGAGGAAGTTACGGCGCTGAGGAAAAGGGACAGAGGACTTAGTCAAAAAGTTGCAGGCAGAGCGCCACCTAAACCGATTAATCCCAAAACGTTAAAACAGAGGTGGCAAACCTTCGAGAGGACTATTGCAAAACAGGCGTTGGCTAAGCAAGCAGCTGCAGAAACAGAGAGAGAAATGGAGAGGCTTCTTCAGGAACGCGAGGAGCTAGGCAGAGAACTCGAGAAGCTTCAGAAGCACAGGAATGATATAACGAGCAGGAGAGGTGACCCGAATGATATTGACGAAGAAATTGATAATGTAAAAAGTAAAATTAGCTATTTGCAGGTAAGTGTTTCTTCCTTCTGATGTCAAATAACGTACATCTGCTGGGCACTTCAACATGTTCTCCGCAGGATAGCATCTCGGAGTGTCAACGCGATATGGTGGAAATGGGCGATGGAGAAACAGAGGGCGAACCCGGCGTCGAAGCTCTCATATCGACGGTTCAAACAGTGGACGAAGCTCAATATTTATTACAAAAAATGCTGGCATTTACCGTGGAGCAGAGTTGCGTAGCTGCTCAGAAGCAACTTGAAGTTCGGGACATGGAATCTCGACTGAATCAGGTCGCGCAAGAAAGCGATGTGCAACATCAGTTACTAGAGCATGTATTGAGAGACAGAGATCTTCTGTCCCTCACGAACAGTCACCACAATCATGCTTTGAATTACAGTCCCCCGAGTTCAAGAAGCTCCTCGCCCGATAAGTATGTCATTTAACGCTGTCTCATTAATCCATTGTGAATCGTATTCCGCTAATAAGTTTATTTTTGTAATTTGAAATATCAGTGAAACTTACAGTCAAGTTATAATGGGAGAGGAAAAACAACGTAACAATAAAGTGAGACGAAGAACCACGCAGCCTCAGGAACTTCTTTACGGAGTCCAAGCAAATCCAGACAATATGAAAACAGAGGAACAAAGTCAGAATCATAATCATCCACTTACGAGGGTACCTAGCGCGCCAGGTAGTTTAAAGTGAGTATACAAGATTATATGCAAATAATATTTTAATGAACCTTATCGCAATATATTTTAAACTAACATGGTCATTTGTCAGAGGATTGGTATTGACGAGAAGTCAACATAGTAACATAACTGGTGGTTCACCGACCTTAAGTCGACGTGATAGCATATCACCAAGGCCGCTCCGACGACCACTACATCCTGGTGGAGGCTCCATGTGAGTGATAATCCTGAAGCACATCTTTGTATTTGTATTTTTTACATATCTCTGCCTTGACGCTCTGTTCTACGCACTAATGACTAAATTTTTTTCTTAAAGAAAGATGTGTATCATTTGAAACAAGTGCATTTACCGGTGCCTTCACCAAAAATATTACAATTGTACCCCTTGAATTATAGGCAAAAGAAGTCAGGCTAATACGATCTAAAATTTCTGTGACAAATACCACAATACAAAGAATATATAACTAAAAACGGAGGGATATGAAAGAAACTAATATATTTCTTCATTAATGATAAAGTTATCTTATGAATTACATAGGGAAAATTTAAATTATTGGGTTCTGTTTAAGTTAACGAAAGATTATCAAATAAGGTTACTAACTCAAATGAATTATTATAATTAAGAATATAATAATTCGTACAAAAGTTGATATGCTCAAAATTTGTTTCAAAGTTTCTCATTCTCGGGAAAATGGCTAATAATGATAACATTATTTCATAATTATTATTTCAGGTGTTTCAATAAGTTTGGCCTAACATAGTACAACCTAATGTGTATTATATTTATATATATTTCTATGCTTTTGCAGTACAAATATGTATAAATGTCGTAAAGCTTCGCAAGAAGGTTAATCAAATTTGTATATATGTAAGCAGATATTTTGTATAATGTCAGATAATAAATAAAAGCACAAGTACTTAACGTGCACTGTCCTATGGTAATACGTATAAAGACCCTTCAGTGGATCGTTGTTTTTCTATTAAAATTATTTCACTACCTTATGTAATAAACCATTGTGTATGTGTCTTGTTTGATTACTGTTTCGAGATTCTAATTATTAATCATTATATAGTATTCGATTTCTGATCGCAATAATATTCAGTACTTTCCTCTATGAGTATCTATAAACCAATAATATAAAAACTACAAACGTTAATACACTCACAATCGAATAACGTTTCTCCTAATTAAACCAATTTACAACTCTACGCCTCCAGTGCACTTGCATGGTCTAAAATTGTATTTCTCAAGCGAACGTAAATTAGCCTGGATTAAAATTAACAAGAACCCGGCTAACTAACACTCTAACATAACAAACCCTCAACTAGGGAACAGGTAGCACACACAGATGTGTCATCGCCACCTGGATCACCGACCACCTACCGGCGGTTCAACAGTAGAGAGGAGAATGTTTTCTCCAGGCTGACTGCAAGTAGACAACCTGCCTCGACAGACCCACAGCCTATGAAAGGAATCATTTCTCAATATCAAGGCAAGGTAAAAGCGATAGGAGTCCAGCAAATTTATTCAATACTTATAATACTTTGGAAACTTTCCAGACATCGCCACGGGCCGTTTTGCAATGTTCCCACGTAGCAGAGGGGCATAGTAAAGCTGTTTTAACTATATGTGCAACTACAGATTTATTATTCAGCGGATCAAAAGGTATAACATCAGAAACAACCAATAGAACTCTTCTAAGATTATCTTCTAACCACGAGCTACTTATACAACATAACATTTTCAGACCGAACTGTAAAAGTATGGGATTTAAGAACTGGAATTGAAAATCTTACTTTGACTGGTCATCCTAATAACGTTGTTGCCGTGAAGTACTCACCAGTACGGAATTTATTATTCAGCGTATCTTCAGCCTACGTAAAAGTTTGGGACTTAAGAATGGGCAACAGCTGTGTAAAAACTTTGTTCTCCTCTGGTCAAGCTCAAAGCGGGCAAATTGCGTTGTCAACTCAAGTACCGATGGGTGAAACGGCTATCAATGATTTAGTACTTAGTCTAGACGAACAAGAGCTATACACCGCAGCCAGCGATAAAGTTAGGATGTGGGATCTTAGGAAATTAACGCACATGGGAAGATTAAGTACACCGCATACGGCTGCGGTGATGTGCCTGGCTGTCGCGGATGACGGTCGTGTAATAGCTGGTAGCAAGGATCATCTAATATCCCTTGTCGAACCTAACATGTCTGGACAGTCGGTATGTTTGGCGCCACCGCACTACGATGGAGTTCAGTGTTTGACTGCGTGCGATTCGACACTTTTCTCTGGTATTTTTGATTTTCAGCTTTGACTTTTATTGGTAAGTTGCAATTTTATTAAAACTACTTCCTCAATTTCAGGCTCGAGAGACATGTGCATCAAACGATGGGATTTGTATAAAATGGAACTAGTCCAGTCACTGAATAATGCACATAAAGATTGGATTTTGGGATTATGTATGATTAACAGTGGAACTATCATGGTCTCAGGTTGCAGGGGAGGAGTTTTGAAAGCGTGGTCTGTACCAAAGGAACAAGGTGGAGAGTGTGCGCCAATAGGGGAAGTACGGGCGCACGGTTCCGCTATCAATGCTGTGATAACTAATCAACAGCATGTTTTCACTGCGAGCAAGTAAGTGTATTTCATTTTATCATATCACTCTCAATCGACTGATCCGAAGCATACTCAGAATTTAGATATTAATTACTTGACTATATATATTTTGATTACTCGACGACAACCGGTGTGCTTGGGTTCAGTATTTGTAATTACTTTGTCGAATAGAATAACATCTTGAATGTTGATTGCAGCTCTGGAGAGGTGAAGCTGTGGCGTATTCCTGATTCCTCATTATCCATGTCTATTTCCACAGTTTCCCTTTAACTTATTTTTTTATATTGCTGTATATTATTCTTTTGCATTTATAGGTTGTTAATGTGGTAATGCGCATGTTTGTCCAAACACATTTTGTAGTTATCGGAAAATGTGTTGAGATATTTGACGTCAAGAAAATTGTTTATTACATAATTGACGACTGCTGATAATAAGAAAGAAAAGTATATCGTTACTTCACTATTTGTTACCTCGCTTTCTGATCTACATAATTTTTGCCTATTCGAAAGACGTTTTCAATGTATTTTTACATATTTGTCTATTCTTAGTAGTTCACTTGCAAAATTGTCACCAGATATAATGACAAAACTATGCAAGTTATTATTTAAACTGTGCTTTGAATGTTATGAAACATGCGTTTATTCAATTTACTACTATGTAACAAAAGTCGAAAATGTAAATTACATATTTATATTAACAATTTACTTTTTCTATTGCCGCTTCTATTCACTGTTAACAACTGATAGAGTAGTATATGTATGTTTTGTTTAAAGAGAATAGCATCAATCTGAAGTTCCACACTCTAACGTCTACTATCCTATTCTAATCACTTCCATTTCTATCGAAATTGTGTGTATGAAATACTGCTTTTTAAAACGTAAATATGCTAATTTGTAAGTCATTAATAGTGTGATTGCAGTTGTGAATGTACTGTATGTAAGCAAATTTTATGTTTAATCGAATGAACTAGTAGGATATAATATCTTTGCAATAATCATAAACTTCTAGATCTATTGAACATGAGTTTAATTTAAATTTTTTATTACTTTGCTTCTATGTTGTTTACACTCCAATTTGGTGCTTTGCATGGTCACCGTGTCAACATGAAGTGACGGAACGGTGAGGCTGTGGAGCTACTATAAGAGAGACGCAAGAACTTTCCAGAGAAGCAACTCGTTGAAAAGTTAATACATTCATTGAAATATTATATTTATTTCGCAACGATATTTTCCTATTTATTTGTTAATTTTTATTAATTTATTACAAAACAGTGGATCAATAACCAGAGTCTAAAAGTGATAATGCACCTAACTTATTGCTTGCTGAGACATTAATCCTGATACTTTTATGTTCCTGAACATAAATTGATTGTGTTCTTGTCCTTTTTTTTAAATGTTTTATAATTTAAGTCTCGCGCGTTTACTGCCTTCTTGGATATAGACATCGGATAAGAATAGAATTTATAAGTGATGGATTTTAAATGACAAACCAAGTATCTTTTTTTATGTTAGATAGAAATATATTATAAATCCAAAGATGTAACAATATAAAATAAAAGTTTAGCAAAAATTATGTGCATTATCGTAAATTGCCTAAGCGTAGGATATAAACGAATTTATTTAATAAGAATAACTTTGGTATTACCTAGCATTTATTTTATTATGAACATGAAGGTGGTAATAATTATATTTACTCTTAGTACAAACAATAATTGTTGATTAATACTGTACAGTCTGAGGTCTCTGTAGGTCCCAAATGCTTGATATTGTCAGGGTTGGCTGTTATTTAGTTTTCTTCTGAAAAATTTAAAAACAGTATTATGTCTAATTATGTTTATAATTATAAAAGAATAAATGGGCTAGTAACAATATTAATTATAGTATTGTATACCTCTTCTTCTTTTTGTATGCTGTCAATGATTCTTGTCCACTATCATCTGCACTTTCGTCTTCCGATTGACTACTACTACTGGTAGTAGTAGTAACACTGCTTGATGAGCCGCTGGAAGAATCGCTGGCAACGCCCGTGTCTTCCTTCACGTCTATAGTCTCCGTTAGGGCTGCCAATTCTGGTTCTTTACTCCTGAGTAGTTTCAACCACGTGCGTGATAATTTTGGTCTCCCCCGTACCTACAGTGGAAATTTCATTTTTCGAAATTATAATGAACATTTTATTCCACTTGTATTACGTATCTTGTACTTACCGTTTTATGCCAAACTACTGGAAAATTGGTACGAGAACAAAAGTTTTGTGTAACTGCTATAGTTCTATCAAGATTTAAAACAACATGCCACCAGCCACCAGGAACAAAAACTGTTTCACCAGGATTCTGTAAAATCTCAATTGGCAAACAATCCTGTGGCCAGGTAGGTAACTTTGTGCGAGGATAAATAATAGAAAACCATGTAATAGCTTCATCCCTTTGTTTACCACCCTCAGCTCCAGACACCTTCAAAAGTTCTCTAGGAGTATGCGTAGGAAAGAGGCACCAACGTTTATGTCCTGAAACCAGTGCATTCCATGCACTGGTCCCTAATGGATCAATATGAATACCAGTACCTATAATTACATTCATTAATAAGTTAATATGATTATACGATTCGTTATACTTCCAAAAAGACAACTACTGTCATTTTACGGATGTAATACTCACCAGACCTTGCAGGTCCCATAACAAACCAACGATATGGCGGTCTTTGATGCTCACCAACATATTGGAAAAGGTCATCGCGAAAGTATCTAGGAATAACATAATCTTCTAACAATTTTTTTCGCCTAGGATGTTCTCCAAACGAACTATCAAAGATATACAAAGGTGAATCATCTTCATTGTTAAGCAAATAACGTACATAGTACTTCATTTTCATTTTAACACTAAATCCATCATTGTCTTCTCCACATTTAAACTTTTGATTCCTGTACTTCTTTACTAATCTCTGCAGTTTAATAGAAAATTATTGTCAATATATGTTTACAATAAACCTCATACTTTAATAACATGATTTGAGCATTACTACTTATGAACCTCTATAGTCCATTTGTATTGGGCTTTCCAGCTATCTTGAACACCTCGTATTATCACAGGCTTGTAGGGTTTCTCATATTTCTCTATAAACTCCTCGTCGGATACTTTGGATTCTTCGATACGATCTACATTATCATTAACATTCCAAAAAGGCTCGAATCTTTTACTGTAGCCATGTTGAGTCCAACCTGCTTTATCCCCGAGTTCTATAAGAAAGGAATCACTTTCAAAATAAATGATGCAATCTTACAGAGTCCAGATATATAGACACTTTAAAAACATAAATATAAAAGCTCTATAGCATAAAACACTGAAGATTTCACGAACATCCAAATATTCTGCTTATTATTGACAGTATACGATTAAAAAAAAAATAATAAAAAAACATTTGATCGTTATATATATAAGATTGAACGGTGAATTATTTACTTGTAAGCACGTCATGTTACAGTGTTACATATATTATCGTAATACTTTCAGTAAATTTGGAGTTACATCATCCAAGGTCGGCAAAGACAGTTCGGTCTTGTGTCGCATTTTCCAAATTCAGTTTATAACGACGAGCGTCACGAGAAGACAAACGGTGTCACAATTACTTCTAGTCATACTATCAATATAAAATAAATCGTGAAGAACAGTTGTTTGTTACAATTAATTTTACGCGCATATCACGTCAACGTACAGGTTAGAGAGTTAGGTTATGGCGCGTTTACCTGGCCTTGCCTTTCGTTTAACATCTCTAATTCGTTTTTTTGCACGGTGATCTAATTTCATTTCGTCGGTCATGGCTACACGTTCGTTATATTATCTAGTAGTTACAATATATTTACAATTTACAAATGAGAAATATGTGGAACACGTCATTCAACGGTAACTGTACTCTTTAGTTCGCATAAATTCCGTGTGGTGTATCAAAACATTGGTTGACGATTTCATGTGTATGGACAACATCCAGCAGACCTTTTTTCTGTTATTATTTTACAAATATATAAATTCTTTTGTTCCCGTTTCGTATAACGATATCTCGTTGGCCGTACATTCCACGTTCCGTACACTTTTCCAACACGATCGCAATTCGTTACGGAAAGTTCTATATGTTATCTACAGAGGCGCTGATTCTTGTATGCGACTGCCTACGTGACAAATACCATGTCCTACCAATAGGTCATCCTGTAGAGACATAATTGCGCTTCTAGAAATATCGATATCGCCATCGTTCACTCCCTACAAAATATAACAATTACACCTATCCGTCGACGCGCGTTCGAGACAATAACGTGCAAATATACAGCTACTCATAAACAGTTCATAAACGCGACATTCCAAATTTTCTCCGCGAATAAACCTTTTCTAACCCTTGTATCGTTGTTTCTTTATCGCGCCACAGGTGTACTCATAAATAATACTAAAGTATCATTCGTAATATCTTTATTATCCGACACGAATTCTCGCAAGCCAACTGGCATTCGCGGGAAATTAACAAGACAAACGTTTAAACGACTTAAATTCGCTGACCGAATTTCCAAACGGGAGCATAGAAACAGGTGAATCAGCAGATAACGGTATAACCGCATTCTCCATCGGGAAAAAATTGAAAATTGCGATGAAACTAATTTTCAACGATCGACCGTCGCTCTGTTACGCCTGAAACAATTACAGAACGAACGTATCACATCGTCAATAAATATTCTCGTCGAATTTCCGTTTGACAGATTATGGATCCCAATATAGATCCGACGGTAGCATTCCGTGTAAACAGTTCTACTGGTAACCTTACGTCGACGGTGCGCGGCGTGCGACATATTAATAGTAAAACGTCCATGCAAAAAATGGCTTTCGGGCAGAGGTGTGCTCGATGAATGGAGGCTTTACTATACGTAGAATATATAAAGTTGCATTAACGTAACAAGAAAGTTGTATCCGCGGTCGAAAGTTCAACGGTTTCCGAGACGCATGCGCAGTGAGAGGGTTGGCGTGGATCACCCGGATGTGCTGCCGCACGAGTACGACACGGTAGAAGGAAGAGGCATGACGCCATGTTTTGATGTCGTCATCCCCCCCCAAACCGCTGTTTCTCGGAGCTAGCACAATAGTCTGTCAGTGTTTTTCTGTTGTGTGCGCCTCGTGTTCCGTGTTCCTGGTGGCCGTTTCGGCGTGCCCCCTTGCTCAGCCCCATCGTCGAGTCGAAGTTTGATGCTTGGCTTCGTGGCCGCGACGCTCTCATCCTCGTGGGCCGATGGTCGCTGAAGGTGGCCCCCTTCGTGTCTTTTTCATGTCCGGGGAAGTGACCGCGGAGCGGGGGGGTCCTCCGCGAGCGTCGTCTACGTGGTGGTAGTGTCCTAGTGTGGGGAGGACGAGCGACGACGATCCCTCCGGTAAACGATTCTCGTCCTAACCAGTGTTACGTCACACGACCCTGAGAGCTGGGCTTACGGAGAAAACGGTCTGCCAGAGAAGTGGACGTCGACGACGACGGGGACGAGGACGACGGCCCTGCTAAAATGGAGCTGCGCCTGCACTCGCCAGCCGGAGCAGAACCGATCGTCTATCAATGGCCCCTCACCTCCGGATCTGGTTCCGTGAGTGCAATCATTTATGGGATTTCATTTTTATTTCGTTCCATTTGTTTCGTTAATCGCGCCTACGTAACGTTAACATAGCCGCCACCGAGAACGCCTACCGACTATGCGACTCTGCCGTTTTAGGTCCCATTCTCACACAGCTGATCGTGTACATCGGTCGCGCGACGCGAATTGTTCCCCCGTTACCTTGTCACGTTGTCATGTTTATTTTAATTAAAAACGTTGACGTATTTTTTTTCAACGACCCTGCCTCTTTTCCACTTGGTAATTGCATGCACGTACGAATTAATTGCACGTTACCCGTCTTGTGCAACGACGTTTGTACTTGCGCGTGTGAGAGACAGAGAGGAGACGAACGGACGGAGGTCAGAGCAGGATAAAAAGTGCTTTGCAACGAAAAAAATCATGAACAGGTTATTTTTATGCTTGATTGAGCGGGACTTCATTGTGGACAATGTTTTGTTATATTTTTGTGGAGGAATCGTTACTAGATTCTTACATGGTAACATGGTTTATTTATATACGTGATCTGTATCTTGGGAGGATTAATTTTTATTAAAAATTTTTGCCTGGCTTCACGAGATTAGATGCATAGACACTAAGTGAATTTGTATTGTGGCAATAAATTGAGGTACTGTGATTTATGGCTGTAAGAAATGTCAAGAGAGAAAAGGTACATTTTATGGCACCTTGTAAATTCTCATTATATTGCTTGTCCTTTATATATATATATATATATATATATATATCTTTTCCCAGAGATGCTTCTACAGATTTTATTCGAGGAATAAGTTTTTATAGTTTATGTAAAAATATTGTACAGCAATAAAGTAACTTGTGTTGAAGAAAACTTTTTTCTCCTGCTGAAACATATTTTCTTCCCATTAAAATCATGTACTCGGGGAAATGCTTTATATATTTTAATAGAAAATTGTGCTTGTAATTATTACCTATTAATTAATTGTAGGATCGACACGATGGTGCACTCGATGTTGTTGAAACAATGCGATGGGTTTGTGAGGATTTGCCGGACTTGAAATTACCGCTAGAGAATAACATTTTGTGCGATTATGACACCAGGGATTACGAGAGTATGAAAAATTTATGCGACAGATTCAATAGAGCAATTGATAGTTTAGTTCAGTTGGTAAGTAAAATGTTCAGTGACGATTTGATGTGACAAAGATACATTTGTTTATTTAAAAAACCTGAAACTAATTTGATACAGGAAAAGGGCACTAGTTTACCATCGCAAAGGCTAAATAAACGACCTAGTCGAGGTTTATTACGGCATATACTTCAACAAACATATAATCAGGCTGTAGTAGAACCAGATAAATTAAATCAGTATGAACCTTTCTCGCCAGAAGTATACGGAGAAACAAGTTACGAACTTGTATGTCAAATGATAGATCAGATTGAAATAACAGAAGACGATGTGTTTGTCGATTTGGGATCTGGAGTTGGCCAAGTAGTTCTCCAAATGGCAGCAGCAACTTTATGTAAAATTTGTGTTGGTGTAGAAAGAGCCGATGTACCATCGAGATATGCACAAGTATGTAATTACTTTAACGTGTACATTGTATACTACTATTCACATGTTTAGAATCCTGTATCTCTACAAGTCTCTTATTTCTGTCAAATATTAGAGTATGGAAGTAAACTTTCGTAAATGGTTGAATTGGTACGGAAAAAGATGCGGCGAATATCGTTTGGTAAAAGGCGATTTTTTAGCTGACGAACATCGTGAAAGCATCACCGGATCTACAATAGTGTTTGTCAATAATTTTGCGTTCGGCCCGACGGTGGATCACCAGCTGAAAGAACGATTTGCTGACCTACGGGATGGTGCGCGTATAGTATCATCGAAATCATTTTGCCCCCTTAACTTTCGCATAACGGATAGAAATCTTAGTGGTAATATATTTTGTTCTAGATTCTCATAGAAAACGTGTGCGCATAAGAATATTTTCATGAATGTACTTTGAATCCCTGTGTTTACAGATATTGGTACGATAATGCATGTCTCGGAAATGTCACCGCTGAAAGGTTCTGTCTCTTGGACTGGTAAACCAGTGTCTTATTATTTACACGTGATCGATCGTACCAAGCTAGAGCGTTATTTCCACCGTTTAAAGAATAATAAACAAGGTGGCGACGAAAATTCTGATTCTGTGATAAACAACACTGCCAGCAGTAATAATAAGGTTACGAGTAGGGGCGAGAGGGGTGACAGAGCTAAACGGGATCTGTCACGGCAGTTAGAGAGCCCTAATCATTCGGAACAGCAAGGGACGAATAGCGATTCAGACGCTGATGAGGGTAACATTAAAAGTCGTCGGCAACCAAATAAAATTCGTAGAAAATTGAATAGGAAAACAAATGGGATTACGAGACCCCCTGCCAGAGGCAGACAGAGGGGGCGAGGCGTGAAGAAGTCTAAGCCGAAGAAAGCGATTAATATCTCTGGCCTGGACTTGTTGCACAGTCAAACGCTCCTTAGTACATCTCCGCAAGCTTTGGGGAAAAAGCCGCCGCCCGCGCCTGGTTGCGTGGATCAACAGCTATCCTCATTGTCGCTCTCTTTGCAGTCACATTCCACCTCTGTACACGAAGAACTTAGTATACCACCTGCTCCGTCCGCCACACCATATGCTTTACAAATACTTCTGGATTTGTACAGGTATGTCTATTGATAATCACATGGGCCAGTTGTTTCGCTTTCAATCACCTTGATACATGTTGTCAATGCACCTTCGCGTTTACAGGGACCAATTCATGCTCTTGTTAGAATCAATGAGAACTCCTCAGTACAGAGTATCGGTCAACACGGACATTGCAAAAGAGAGGGAGAGAAATTCGAAGTTGCAATCACGAGCGGCACAACTAGAGAAACAAATAAAAGTATTAATCGACGATAGCGTAGCTTTATTGAAAGCAAGAATGACTGAGTTAGGTATAAATGCTACGTCACCTGGAGACTTGCTTGCCAAAGCCAAGGAGATAGTTCTTAGGCACAAGCAGTTGCAAGCGAAGGCAAGCAAGTTGCAAGCGCAAGTCGCGTCTATGGAGAGTGAACAATCAAGATTGACGGCGCTCAGACACCAAGAGTTGCAAGAGAAATACAGCAGCCTGACTAACGCTAATGGTATAGCAAATCCGCCGCAACCACTGACACAGGATTACATACTGAAAGAGATTTCAGCCACTTTGTCTCAGCGTAAAAGATTGCACTGTCAGGTTAGTAGTGTTCGGGTTAATAAGATTAAATGATAAATGTTGATGGAAATTTGAACGTGATAAATGTGTGCAGGTGTCCAAATTGGAGCACGAATTAAATGTATTAGAAAGAGCTAGCAACGAGAAGCAAGCTGCTGCGATAGTTCAACAACAGAGGGAAGCAGCGGGTACCAAGCATTCGCAGAATCAACACCATCATCAGCAACAGAACGGGAAGAGCGGATCGACTAGGAAAAGTAGAGAAGGACGATCCAGGTCGCAGGAATGGCCGGATGTTCCGGACATCGGGAAGATACAGGAAAACAATCCAGAAATACTGGCGCAGAAAATCTTGGAAACGGGTAGACAAATAGAAGCTGGACGAATGTTGAATAGACAAAATACTAGTACAAGTAACAATTCTAGAACCAGACTGCCACAAGCGTCCCTTAGCTTTTCTACAACTTCGTCGTCGTCTATCTCGTCCTCGCTACCGCAAACGAGCAACAAAGAAACAGCAAACAGGACTCAGGAGCCACCTAGGGTTGCAAACTTCGAAGATAGACTAAAGAGCATAATCACAAGTGTCTTGAACGAAGATCAACAAAATAGAAATAAGCAACAACAAATGCAACAATTGCAGAACCAGACTGAGCCCGACAGAAAACGCATCGCGTTGCCGCAGAACGTTTCCACTCCGGATTATACACAGGTAATTCCTATTGTTGTAAATAACAACCGCATACGGCGGAGAGTGTGCTCTTTCTAATCATTGTCTGTGTTGTTCATCGGCGAATCACATTCCCGGCGATTAAGAATAAAAATATCATTGTAGGTTTCACCTGCAAAATTAGCACTTCGCCGTCATCTCTCCCAAGAACGCCTTTCATCTCACTTAACACCATCTGATAGGCCAACAATCGACTCCAGGCAATCGAGTCATGACAATCGTATTGTAGCAGGAGGAAATGGATTGCTGGGCACTAGGACGATCGGTGATCTGGTCAGCGGAGAAATAGAGAGGACTTTAGAGATATCCAATCAATCGATAATAAACGCCGCCGTTGACATGAGTGCGATGATTAGACCGGAAACAGTATATTCCCCTATCAGCAGACCTGCTAGCGCAGAGGGCGATGCTGGCTTATCGACCCTGGCGCATGTAGCAAGTTATGCTCCGACTTCTTCCGCAGTTTCAACTTGCACTCCCACTGTCACTTCAAGATCATCTGTATTGTTCACTCCCGTGACACAGGCGCAGAGGTATATAATAATATTTTCACAAGAGAACATTATCCTTAGACTATTGGGAAAGTCAACAATAACTTATATTTTTTCTTGCGCAGATACACGCCGATTCAATTACCCCGTGCAGACATCAAACCATACCATGAGTCGTACTTCACTGACAATCCTTCTCAGTCCCTCGCACAAACTCATCCACCGTCATCTTTGCATTCATCTCAAGCTGGCTCGAACGGCGAAGTTCTACCGGTGGAAGGACTGGCAGCGTCTCTACACGCTCGTATATTGAACAATCACAACACTAAAAACGAGTCGATGCTTTCTACAAATCGAAGGTATCGCGATTTCTTTGAAATAATTTTCTTTTTATTTTTTACTGAATCATATTCGTTGGTACTATTGTTTCAAGAACACAGCCTGTAACGTACGTTTGTTTCCTTTGTCGTAGATTTCAACCGTATCCCAGATATGCAACCAGTAGTAACAGTAACGGTAGCACGACCACGAACGGCATTGTAACGGCGATTTGTCAATCACAGCCTTCAATGCCGGTGAAAACAGAGGCGGTCGTATCGTCGATAAGCACAAGTGGAGCACCGTTAAGTCCTCTGGTGGAACCGCACTCGAATACATCCACGCCATTAGTCGATGAGCCTCAAATGACCACGCAGAGGCAACGAAATGGTATCGGCGACGACGGTAAGCAGAAGAACATTCTATTATCTCACATCGTTACTCCTTATTACGCGTTCTCCACGAATATCGAGTTAGGAAACGCTTTGGAATGTACACACCCAAGTTTTAAAATATGCTTTCTGTATTGGCTGGCAGAAGAAACGTCAAAGTACTTTGAACTTTGAGAAGCACATAAATAGAGCATTCACGCTCTTGATATTGTATTTATAAGTAAAGTATAAACTTGTTTGAACAGTGTCCAGTTCAGTAAAGTAAATTATGAAGCTGGCAACAGACTAGGAATGTTCCTCAAATTTACGAGTTGAATTCTACTCTTTAGATTTGACTTCTACCTCCAGTAGTTTGAGCCTACTATACCACCTAAACTATGATTTATTTATTCTCCCGATGAATACTATTTATTTATTTATTTATTTATTTATTTATTTTTTATACCTTTGCTATACAAACCTTTTACTAAACACTCTGCTTTATCTTTTTGTTCAAACACACTGTTAGTTTCTGCTATGCATCTCCAGTTATTATTTTTTTTTATTTTATTTTTTCGCACTAATCGGTTTAAAATTTTCCTATGGTTTACCTTATCTTACGGAGCTGGTACCCGATCTTTATTTATATTTATTTTTGTTGTTGTTTGCTGTATTTGTTAGATGCACTGTAGCTGTTTGTTGGTTAGCTCTGTCTGTCACATACTCAATCTCACTCACAGCCCTTGAAGCTTGTTTTATTAGAGATTGAGACACAAGTCAGAGGGAGAAATGAAAATGTACGGCTGCCTGTGGGTTGGTTCGTGGTTGCTGGTGAGTTGTCCCACAGGGGTTGTTCAAAATTTTTTTTCCATTTTTTTTTTTCTCTTTTAAATTATCGTTATTACAGCCATTAAGAGAAATAAGATTTTATCGGCAAATATCTAATATGAAAAAGAATACAAGGATAGCGAGTAAACTAGCGAAAAAAAATATATTTCCATGAAAATAAGCCAAACTCGGAAAAACAGTGTCTTCGAAGAAAGTTGTTTAACATCTACAGCATACTCATACATATGAGAGACTCGGAAAAAGAGCGAAGCATGCCGGATTTCTTAGAGAACATAGTATCTTAGTTAAGGGGTTTTTGTAATTTTAGTGCATGCTTTTTTTTGCATGATACATACATACCTTCCTTGTACACATGTACATACATTTATCAACGACAATTACGACTCGTGCCTAGATAGAGTCAGGATGAAACTGTTTTATGACCACCATGTCTTTCCACTTTCTGTACACCTTTTTCCTCTATCAGTACGTGCGACACACACATATCTATACAGAAATACCATTCTCTTATCTGTCGGACAATATTCTCTTTACAGATTACTCCTTAAACGCAATTGAATAAATACATAGCAAATCGATGCGCAACAGACTGCTGCCTCGAGGCAACACGTACTGCGATTGGAAAACGTTGTTGGCTTATTTTTATGAGAATCCGTTTGACTCTGTCCAGTGTGTTCAAGCGATAAAGTGTTTGAGCAAATTTTCTTTTACAGATGGTGAAGCGGATTGGCAGGATCGAATCAGTTCCGGGTTCGACAGGTTGGTCGCGTTCGCCTCCACCGAGCTGGACAAGCGAAGAAGATCCACCGAGGGAGTGAACACGAGTCCCGACAGCGGTTTAGGGTCCGACAGTACGGTGACAGGACCGCCGCCTGTGATCCCGTCGCCCGACGAAGCGCTGGGACCTCCTCGCACACCTTCACCGACCAGCCCTCGCCCACCGAATCCCTCCAACACTAACAACAACAACAACAACAACAACAACAGCACGTCCTCGGTGCCCCTGAAGTACCAACGGCAACCCGACCCCGAACGGCATCATTTTAAGAAAAAGTTTTTTCATAGAGATTGGAATAACTCTGGCAGCACCAGTAAGTTTCGTCCTAAAGGCAAGGATTGGGATTGGAATCATTCAGGACAGTGGCCTTCGAATGACGAACAATCTTAATCCGACTTTTTCTACTTGTAATCTGATTGAGTACGAAGCAGCTTTTAACTGAGGATTTCTCTTACGGTTGTTTGTTAGGTTTGCAGAATTGAGAATGCCGTCTGCGTTTCTTGGTCGCGGATGATGTGTCCGTTTCTTTTGATGATAAGAATGTTATTACCCTTCTCTGCTCCCCTGTAGTACGGTTAAAGTAATCTTTATTAATTATTATTTTTTATCATTATCATTTACGGTTATTACGATTATCATGATTATCAACGCGTACGATGTTGCAGTACATTGGATGTGTTTCACTCCGATACGCGTCGCGAATGTATTCTTTGTTTTATGCCATGGAGAATGGCATGCTTAGTTGGAGCTCGAACGGAGAGCTCGATAATTAGTTTCATTCTTTTCGTTTCTCTTTTCCTTATGTTTCGTGAGAAGTATGTATATTATATATTTATTTTGCGAGGGAAAATTACGAGGCTAAA